CACCAAGTATATACTAGTACTTTGGTGAACTATAAGCAGTGACAGTCTTGCAGTGATCAGCATTTTACATTGGTTGTATAAGTCGCACTGTTACGACCGTCACACTTTACCAATAACTTAGAACTAACATAAATAACGTAATGCAATTGGGCTAAAAACAAGGTCATTTAATTTGAATGTTTATTTCCTATCATTTTCCCGATGCACATATTAAATGTTAACGATCTAAATATTTGGCTGCTATACAACACATTCTGTTCTCTGGATGGTCTTTACTGACAACACATGCACTATGTGTTATTACCAAGATTACCCACTCTAAGTGTTATACAACACATTCTCTCCAGGCATATATTGTAGATTATCAGGTAATTTCCATAACAATGTAATATGTTGATAAATCTAGTTCAATCATTGTTATGCTAAATTGGTTCTATTGTTTATCTATTGTTTGATTAATTCCCACAATTACAGGTTGTTAAATTGAGAGAATAAATGTGCAGACAAATATTTTAGATTTATTTTGGTGTAAACAGCTCTCGTTTAATTATTTTGCACCATTACAAGTTGTTAAATTGAGAGAATAAATGTATGGACAAATATTTTAGACTTATTTTGATGTAGACAGCTCTCGCTTGATTAATTCCCACAATTACAAGTTGTTAAATTGAGAGAATAAATGTCTGGACAAATATTTGAGACTTATTTTGGGTAGACAACTCTCATTTAATAATTTTACACTATTACAAGTTGTTAAATTGGGAGAATAAATGTATGGACTAATATTTGAGACTTATTTTGGTGTAAACAATTCGCGTTTGATTAATTCCCACAATTACAAGTTGTTAAATTGAGAGACTAAATGTGTGGACAAATATTTTAGACTTATTTTGGTGTAAACATCTCTCGTTCAATTATTTTACACCATTACAAGTTGTTAAAGGGGAGCAGAGGTGTGGCTTTTGGCACTCTGTAAATGAAATCTGAGATCTGTGAATGAATTCTGTCGATAAAAATAACTTGTATGTGCTGCGAAATGCCCTAAATATCGGGTATAAAACGGGATGTGAAGCAGACGACAAACGTCCACTTTTCCTGGCGTCATTTCGCCTCTAGAGGGCCATTCAATGATGTCATCAGTGAACACTGATAATTGATCCCATTCATTTTAGTACGTCAATCCCATAGAAATGCTACTATGAAAGACCTTGTTAACTGACGACTTAAAAGTTGAAACATGATGAGGTGTTGTGCGTATGAAGCCATAACGATTCATGTTAAGTTTCTCGAAATCCCAAATAAAAAATCACGTTGGTTGCGGAAATCGGCAGAAGAACAAACCTGAAAATGAAGACACGTACAGCGCTCTAGCTATAGTAAACAGTGAGTAAATAAATATTGTACAAGTTAAAAACTAAATTAGAAATGCGCTAATATCACTTGAACTACAGTACTCATTTCGCCCAACTTCCCACTTTTAATCGACCGGTTATCGCTTAATTTCTGACTGCACTGTATTTTCCAATCGGAAAACGATCGCATTTTTATCGTATTTTTTCTCCGGTCGCCCAAACACTGGTCACTGGCACAGGAGTGATCGAAATAGTGGTTTTCAGTGATAAAGTTTGGGGATACAACGGGTAGCTCTGAGCGGACTTAAACCCACTGTCTTTTCAAGCTAATTTGGTTTATTTTGATGGCACGCTTGTGTACCATGCCACAACGTTGGTCGTTGAGTGGTGTTCATTTTTCTAACTACTCCAGTGTTCCGAGGAGTTGAACAGGAAAGCCAAAACGATTGCTGGTTTCTGATTGCTTCGGTTCTGGTGAGTGTGTATCTAGTGTGATTCGAACCCATGTCATTTGTATTGGGCGTTTTTTTTATTTCCCATGTTGGCTACGCCGTAATATGCAACCACTTCCCTGTTTTATTGTGATTTTGTGAGTGTTTAGGCTAGGATTTATTACCGTTATTATCATAATATTGTCACGTGATTTGTTTTACCTTATGTGTAATGTCTTAAGGTAGAGATGCACTTTATTTGTGAATTTCAATCAAAAATAGTTTTTTTTCCTTTTTTATATAGATTTTTATCTAAAGAACATTCTGTGAAAATTTGACCAATGAATTCTTATTGGAACACCGTTAAAATTGCTGTTTATTTTCTGGTTAAAAATAAAAAACACTCACATGTGGCAATGTTTATGTCCAATTGCCTAATTTGCATGAGTAACCAAATAACAAGACCTTTGATTGACAATATGCAAATCGAGATTGTACGGGTCAT